TTCCAGCAAAAAGAGAGTAAGGCACCTTATTATTTCTAAACAATTTAACTTCGAAAAGAGAAGCTGAGTTTGAGCTTCCTGACACAACTGTCTGTTTATGTACAGCCTGAGCCAGCTGCACAGTGAGGCCCTTTGAAGCCTGTGGCAGAGCTGCACTGTAGGGCCCAGTGAGGCCTATGGTGGAGCTGCACTGTGGGGCTCAAGGCAAATGATCTTGTCTTATGGTGACTCTCTCAGCTGCACCAACTGGCCTTAATCAGCCTTTCTTAACAGTTCAAGGAGCAGAAACAAGATGCAATATCAGTCCATCAGTGTTAAGACCACAAGATATTATTATATATAATTTTTTAATGTCCTAAATAAATCTCCGAAACTAAAGCATAAAATGATGAACAGATGAACTAGATGTGTCAGAGCTCACATTATTATGTGATAATTAAAACATACTGATTGATATGTATAGATATAGATTATGATAACCACACAAGTCAAGGTCCTGATGTATTAGTTGATATAACTTAAAGCCTTTAAACTGCTTTCTTTACTGCTAAAACAGAGCAATTTAATGTTGTGCTACAGTGCTGCCCTCTGCTGACTGCATCACTCAAATACACATCAGTTCACAAATCCACAGAAAAAAACATACACATAACTATCCTTCCACACAAATAACCTCTGACTGTTTAAATGAGTGTAATGAGCAGCTCTTTAAACAGTCTGAAGCACCTAAAATAACTAAAATTACTAACATAATATACATACTGCATGTTTTTAACATACATTATTGCATGCCAACCCACCTAGGCCCTGGCAGGGCACATCATGCCATGGATTTCCATGAAAAAAATCAAATGCCTCTATTTAATGCGTAACGCATAATTTCATGCAACCATGATTTCAAAACAGTCTCTAAATAGATTTTATTCCGTTATAAATGTAAAAAAATTCCATCCTTCAGGTTCCAACTCACATCTTAAATATGGAATTAAATATGGAACTCAAGGGAACTGAACTGAAATATTTACTTCATATATATGTATACTTTTGTCTTTAAAATGAATTTAAATCTTTCAAATTTAATATTTCAGTCCATTTTTAAGATTATTTTTGCAAAAATTAGGCTTCATTCCATATTTCTACATTTCTATGATTTTTTTTTTTATTTGACATACAATATTTGAAGCTACACCATGAGTTAAAAATTGCTTCATGACTTAAAACACACTTAAAATAAAATAATGAAATGACCTAAAAAGATGAGTCTGGATTGGGCATAAAGGGGTCCCTTGTACTCCCGAAGCCCACCTCCACTTCTCAACATGCCCAGTGTTTCATTTCAGAGAAATGACTAATTTTGATAATTGATAAGCTTATCAGAAACTCTTTCAAAAGGATAATCAATGATAATCAATATAAATACAGAACTACAGTGTTGTTAATAATAGACCAAACTGTCCAAAGTGCTGTTGGTCATGTGATTTCTGACTTTAGCCTATAACTCAGATAAGCTTTTGAAATGTGAAGTTACAAAGTGATCTAAATCTTGAGCAGTTCTGTCCTGCAGGTCATGAATTTACTCATTAATACCTATATTTTGTTTCTTTTGTTTGTTTGTTTCTTTAAGAATTCATAACAAAAAAAATATTTGGAGCATGTTTAAAGTTTTGCATGGTTGAATGAATTAAACTGACATTTTTGTTTGACTTTTTCATGAAAACCTGCGCCCACTGGAGCCTCAGCTTTCTGTTCCTGGCTGACAGAAGTGGAACCTGATGTGGCCTTCTGCTGTTGTAGCCCATCCGCCTCGTGGTTTGACGTGTATTCTGAGAAGCTTTTTTGCTCACTACAATTGTACAGAGTGGTTATCTGAGTTTGGTAATTTACCTGCACAAACCCACCTGGGTGTGTTTGAGTAGGGAAACTACCAAACTGTGCTGGACACCAGCCCTCCAGGGCCAGAGCTGTGCACCCCTGTTCTAGAGACTGTTGTGCATGAAAATCTCAGATGATCAGCCCTTCTGGCACCAACAATCATGCTGCGGCCAAAATCTCTGAGATGACATTTTTCATTCTGATTGTTGGTGTGAAAATTACCTGAAGCTGTTGGCTCATATCTGATTTTATGCACTGCAGTGCTGCCACCTGATTGGTTGATTAGGTAATCGCATGAATGAGTAGGTGTACAGGTGCTCAGTGAGTGTATATTTTGTATTGTCAGTGATGCACATTAAAACCTATTAAACCATGAAGGAATCATAGGACGTTTGTAGAACTCAGCCATGTAATACTTTACCAATAACGTAATGACGGCCAGAAACGTAAGAAGATTTTGCACTTGGTCAAAAATGTAAAAAAAAAAAAAAATTCCAATTGTGTAGCAACTCATCCAATGATGTAACACAATGTCTTAAGCAAAAATATAACATCACTGGAAATTTACTACATTTTCATGTTGAGCAAAAAAAAAAAACGCTGTATTATTTTATGGAGAACAGAAGACACCACTGTCGGCCCTCTGTGTTCCAGTCAGATTTGACTGATTTCCTGTTTTTTTCTATCCTAAATATAATCTGACTCTCTGAAAGAATGAACTCTTCTAAGACTTTTGTCTCATTGATGCTCCTCTCGTTCCAGGATGGGTCGATTCCTGTGTACACCACAAAAATATTAAAGGAGACCTCTGGTTACAGCTCTTAAAAGCATCACATCATCCATTCTGAAAACAAACTTAAGCAAAAACTTAAGACTCACAGACAGGATAACAACGTTACTTTGCCAATGTAAATGGTGAACAAGCAAGCTAGCTTGCGAATTACCTAACGTTAGGCTAACATTATTAACGTTAAATGTTTTTCCCAAAGCTGGCAGTTTAGTTGGCACTTAAGTTAACTTCACAATTTAAACCCTCCACATGCACTCCAGTCTATTTACCTTCGCAAAGGAGTTAAAAGCACTGTTGTCCCTTGTGGAACCAGCCAGATGGAGAAAGGAGGACGAATAAGAGGAAGAAAAAACATTTGGTGTTGCTGTCGATTTGCAGTCTCTTGAAATGACTGGCATTACACATTCGTCATCCCCACTTGACACTTGAGGAGGAATGAACCCAGCGCTGTGATTGGTCAAACTCTACTTCTTTTGTTTTCAGAAGGCTAGACGCTGCTGCCTCCTGCTGTTAGATTTGATAACTGCACATGCACAACTGAACTCACAGGCGTCACCAGCTTTTTGATGCCGTTTAGAGCAGTGAGAGGCCCACTGTCCTGCACGTTTTCAGAACATTAGGTTCTATATACGTTAATTAGATGTAATTGTTCTTATTCAGTAAAAAGTAAACCGATTAATTAGTCTCTCTTGAGGAAATGTTTTGAGTGTCAAAAAGGCCCCAGTTTTCTAATTGAAGCTCTTTCGAATACATTATGTAGCTTCAAACAATACATGTAAAAACGGACAATTCATAGTTGTGATGGAAGTGTAGGAATATTAAATAAACTAATTTTGATATGCAAGATAGAATCATATATGCAGGTTTGAACACCCCCAGTCAAATGACGTTTTGCCAGTTTATCTAAGTGAAAATTAGTCAGCACATCCTCTACAGAGAACTCACTGAAATATGTTCATATGTGAATACACTTAAATATGTTATCTTTCTGCAAACAGTACAGCACAATTTCTATTTATTAGCCAAGTTTACCATTTTGGACAAAATAAAGCATAGAATATAAGATGTGCCTTAACTTTTGCAGAGACCACATTTTATGTTTTGTTCAGTAAATAAACAGTATTGGTGCATTACAATGTGCAGAAGTGTGAAATCCTCTCTGTAGAGGATGTTATTTACACTTGAGAAAAAGGGCTGGAGGTTAAGGAACCAGCCTTGTGACCAGAAGGTCACTGGTTTGATCCCCTGAGCCAAAAGGTCGTGACAAGTGCGCTTGAGCAAGGCACCTAACCCCCAACTGCTCCCCGGGTGCCGTGGATAGGGCTGCCCACCGCTCTGGGCACGTGTGTTCACTGCCCCGTAGTGTGTGTGTATGTGGTGTTTCACTGCACAGATGGGTTAAATGCGGAGGTGAATTTCCCCGTTGTAGGATTAATAAAGGATAACTTATTTATTATTTATTTTATAAAATTTCATGACTGTATTGAAATTCAAAAGTCATAAGACCTTCAATAAAATAACATGGGGGACATCCTATCAACACTTGATTTGAAGTGAATTATCAGCAGCTTTGTGTTTATACCCAGTCAGTATATCAGCTCAGTTCAGTCTTTCTGTAAGCAGCTAAACTCAATATTTAAGATGCGGTTTAAACCTGCGGGAGAAATCTTTAATAATTCATAACTAAAGCGCTCTTTAGAGCACAGGTTTAAAATGTTGCATGGCTGAATAAATGAAACTGACGTTTCTGTTTGAATTTTTCATGAAAATGTGTGAGATCATGTGTGGCAGATCAAGATGAGGTTTAACCTGAACGTAAATCTACAATGATACCTTGTTTGGATGTTATTAAATTGCAAATAATAACATGCAGTACTAACAAATACTAAATGATATTATGAACCACTGAGCCTAAATATGAACCATCATTATATAAAGGAGGACAGAGGCACGATTAATGTGATAGTCATATGACAGTCGTTTGAACACCCCCCGCGAAAATAAGTGAACACATCCTCTACAAAAAACACAAATATTATTTTTTTGCACATTTTAAATGCACAATTTCTATTTATTTATGAAGTTAACCTGTTGGAAATAAGAAAACAAAATATAAAATATGCCATAACTTAAACAGTCCACATTTTATGTGAAATTCATCAAATAAACAGTAATTGTGAATTAAAATGTGCAGAAGTGTGTTTGCCATAGAGGAACTTATTTTCACTTAGAAAAGCAACAAAACGTGCAGTTTAACTGGGGTGTGCAAACTTTTGCCCATGACTGTATGAAGAGAAAGAGGCAGAGGCCAAACAGAAATAGAAGTCAAGCGATGGAAGAAGAGAACATTATACATTTATTATTGAACCACCCTTTGAAATCCAAAAGACTGGGAATCGGGGTCAAAGAAAAGGAAAAAACTCATTGCACTACTTAGTAAAGCGTTACTAGTAATAACTCTCATAAAAAATGTACAAATGTTTGTTAAAAATTTTTATATCAAGCCTTCAAATGATTTTGGTTACAGATATTATACATATGAAACTACATCATCGTGTTAAATGATACAATTGTAATTTTTAATGGAAAACAAATTAAAACCCATAAAAAATCAGAAGCTCTCATATTTGTTTAGGCAAAATGAAAAAAAAAGAAAAACAAACACCATAAATAGTAAAAATGAGGTAACTGCTATTGTACCAAGCAGGAGGGGAAGGAAAAAAAATGGAGAAAGAAAAAAAACGGTTTAGTAACGTGACCCAAATGTGCCTGGAACGAATTGACCAATGAGAACACGAGGTCAGCGTCGTGACTCTGTGGTCACCGAGGACATGACGTATGACACTAAACTGGACGAGACGCTGGAGGATGGCTGAAAGGCATCTGCTGTTAAGACACTACGGGTTTCCAAGCTGACGCTACAAAAGCCTTACGACTCTACACAGCCCAGCCATAGAGCCTGCATAGTGCGACACAGTGGCTGTTACCACCACTCGTAACCATTTATGACACTCCAGTCACACACGCTCGCTCGCACGCGCTAGTCGAGTCAGTGGCAAGTCGTCTGCAGTGAGTCTCACACATGCTGGAAATGGTTACGATGCTCCTACGACGCGTCTATGGCAGGTTGAGAGGGCTTTATTCAACACAGTCGACAGAGAGAGAGAGGGGGAGAGAGAGAGGCTAGGCAAAGACTGCAGGAGCGAAAGCTTGAGAGGAAGAAGGATGCGTCTGTATGCCGCCCACAAATGCTTTCATAACAACTGTTGCTAGGTCGGACAACCGTTATGGTTACAAGACTGAAAAAAGGCCTCATTCAACCTAATTGTAACTCCAGCACACGAATCAGTCTGTGTCAAAATAGTTAGAAAACACTTAATTTCAAATGATATTTATTTTGTATGTGTATGAAAAGTCGGACTGTTAGTACAGATCAACACTATCAAGCTGACGTTAGCATGGTGGCCAATTAATCAATACTTTAAACAACACTGTCATTCACAACCTAGTGTCGCATAGCCACAGCAACACTGTCCAGCTCAGCAGCGTAGCACTGAGTTTTAAACTCTTTTTCAGTTTCTCATTAGTTCGGATGGGATTTGTGTGAATATTCTGTAAACCCACCAACAGTTGTTAGAAAAGAACACATCTGAGGACGGAGCACAGATAAGGTAAACAGGAACTTCTGCATAACTAAACATAACTTCAGATGAGATGTAAACAAGCCATTCAGAGCGGTTTGGTGTGAAATGCTCTGTTCTAAAGAAACTTACGGAGCCAGAATTGTTCACAGTGGTGGTGATGGGAACCAGACGTCCACCTCTAAAAGCTCCCTCACTGAAAGTGTTTACATGAACTGGTTATGAACACGCTGCCTGATGTCAAACACTGTTATGACATTATTAGATAAATGTTGGTCTAAAATGCCCACTCATGGTGGAGAGGTCACCAACACTACATATAAAACTCAGAAAACGTGTAGGTTCACTGGTGGTTTTGGATAGTAAGTGAAATGGCTATATTTGTGCTGTAGAAATCGCAACCTCTGGTTCCCATCACCACCACTGCAGAGATCAAGAGTGGGTAAGATTCTCTAGAATGAAGCATTTCACATCAAACCACTCTGAATGACACTGTTTACATCTCAACCATTTAATTATGCAGAAATTTTATTCTCTAAGGAAAGACATCCTTTCTGAGAGAAAGAAAGAGAGGAGGAAGGGAGAAGAAACCAGAATAAAAGGCCTGACATGCTAATTTGGGGGATTCCTTCCCTGCTTTGTAGTGTACAGATTCTGTGTGCTTTTTGGACATTCGTTCCCTCTACGTGCCTTTACCTGTTCATTTTACACGCCCACCCCCACCTGTGCTACCCGACTGAAGATTCATCACGGCGACCTTAAAGTGATCCTTGAGTGCGCATGCATTCTCAACAAACTACTCCTCACTGAGTGTGCGTTAAGTGCTGAGTCAGTGGTGATCCTGTGCTAAACGTAAAAAAGGGGAGACGTTTTTGAAAGTCTTGGGGGGAAGAAATGTAAATTGGACTCCTCCGTTTTCCTCTTTTGACTCTCTTTCTGCTTGAGTTCATCACTCAGCTTCTCTAAAAGCATCACAGTTTAAAAGGAACGGCTTGATCAAAGGTGCTAATGTGGCTAACAGTGAAAAGAAGGAAAGTGATACCAGTTAGCGTGGTGTAATCTGCATAATGCTCAGTAGTAGATTACGCAAGGCCTGTGCCGGTAATAGAACTGCATGGTTTCGCACTGCTTTACCTGTAATTTGACAAAACATTAAGCTTTAACCTGTAAGCCATCACTGCCCCCGTGTCCACTTCAGAGTCAAAGTCGCTGGAAGTACTGCTGTCATCATCTCTGCAGGTATTTCTGCTGATGCTTCCAAGAACATCACTGATGTTTTCAGAAGCATCAGCACATTTACTTATATATGTACTACTACTACTACTACTACTACGAATAATAATAATAATAATGGTAACTATGGCAACAAATTTGCTGGACAAAGGTATCCCAGGTGACTGCTAGGCCATTGCTTTGGCATATTAGGTGGTTGCCATGGTGTTAGAAGGCTGTTACTATGGCACCCAGTGTGGTTGCTAAGGTGTCACTAGGCCATTTTGAGATGGTTCCTAACTCTGAAGCAGACTCGGGGGTAGGGAGGGGGGGCAAATGACAGCGTGTGAGTGTGTCAAATAAAAGGTAACAGCACAGTCCAGTAAAAGTTTTGGATGCAGTATACGGTCATCTTTAATTTGGCTAGAAAAAAGTATAATTAATCTAGTAATAAAGAACAGAAATGCAACCTCACATGAACTTTACAGTCCAATGTCGTGGTCACTGTAGCCGCTTAGCTTAGCCTGACTGGATGAGAGCTGAGACATGAATGTTGTTCCGCCAAAGAGGTGAAAGTCTGAAACCTGTGGTTTGCAGAACAGCAGTAAATGGGATTTTACCATCACTGGTGGCTGTTCGTTTTCATTTAGCGTTAGCAACATTAGCTTTTTTTGACTGAACTATTCCTTTAAATCCTTTAAACTATGACACTTTCAGAACTCACCCTGATCTCTCTGTGGCACGTTTGCAGAAGGCTAAAGAGGAATTTTCATTAAAAGAACGAAAAAGGCTAATAAAATAGATTTCTATGGAAGGAAGACTACATCATTCTTTTTCTTTTCCAGGATTATGGAGAGATGAATAAAAAATGGAAAAGAAAGAAAAGACATACTAAAAGTTTGGGCAGGAAAAACGACGTAATCCGATTGTGCTACGTTGAAGCACGCCCACTGCTCCTCGTTAACCAATCACGCGCCTCGTTAGTGACAGCCAATCAGAGACGAGAACAGAAGAAGTGAGAGCGGTTAAGCCAGTGTTCTGTACCACACATACAGGATAAATAACACACACGAGTAACCAATGATGCGCCAACACTCACGTGCAAACACACTCTTGCACGCACGCACACGAACACGCACGCACACGCGCACACACCCACACACACACACACACACCTCACAGTATTCCAATTCTATAAGACTGCTAGATCATAACTGAGCAAAAAAACCCACCCGAAAAAAAGCCCAACTTTATATATAGATACAATTTGCCATGTTTTTCCTCATTTTTGGAAAAAAAAAGAACACAATTTCTTTTCTTTTTTAAAACATGTATGAATTGTGTTATTCTGTCCCTCTATATTGATACATACATATATATATTTATATATAACTTTTTTATTGGTAGAGTATAAAAAGCACATGCACACATTTGTCCACTTCCTCTTACAAGCTACCTTCACACCACCGGTGTGCTCACATGCTAGGGAATGTTAGTACACGTATCTGAACACGCACACACGCACACGTTCCTGTACTTACGCAAACATACAATGAAGACCGCGACCACCCTGTACCCACCCGAGATTAAAAATAAGAACATAACAACAACATGATCAGAGAAATGGCAGTGGTTGGAGTGACCTAATCTGAGGAAAAAGAAGGAAAACAAAATCAGAATCTTTACACGAACCATTATCTTTGGACTCATGGGGTTAATAACCATAGCAACCGGAGACATGTGTAGGGGTGTATGTGTGTTTGAGAGTACATGTGTATCTGTGCTTGTTTTGGATGACGCTGAGCACAGCGCGAAAGGAAGCTCAGCACTGAACCTTTACAGTCGAGTGTATGTGTGACCGGTGGTGATGGGGGGGCATATGAAAGGAAGTTTCGACTCTATGCAACAAGAGACGGGGTGAGAAGTCCAGTGTGTTGAGAGATTTCAGACATTTGGGAGTCCAGCTGGCTGCACAGAGCAATGTGATCCTGGGACGAAAAGTGGTGTGTGTGTGTGTGTGTGTGTGTGTGTGTGTGTGTGTGTGAGTGAGAGAGAGAGTGTGAATCGGGCTGGGATTGTCACTCAGAATCCCGCTGGACTTCAGAGGCGTCCGCTCGGCAGATAGGGCAGGTTCTGTTAGCCTGAAGAGGCAAAGGAAGCAAAAAAGCGTCAGGGGGTCAAATCAATGAGAAATCAGTGATAGTAATGGCAGAACTGAACAGCAGAGTAACTGAACCCAATTAAAGGGGAACTGCGCCAATATTTAAACATGTTTGCATGATTAAAGCATTCTGAAGGGGTGTACATGCAGGGTGCTTTGATGCAAAACAGTACCCAAAGAAAACTTATTTTTAGAATTAGGACTATTTTACCATTATCAGTATTACATATACAAAACTCAAAGATCCCTGGTTGCCTTGGATAGTAAATAAAATGATTTTTCATCGCTGTCCTGAAATTTTAACACAATCAAAGGGCAAAACCTGGACAGATCCAAATGGACATCCAATGTTTTTGCATTTCAGTGACGATTTGCCTTACAGACATTGTGACCCCTGGTTCCTCAAGAAATCAGCCTAAATTTCTCTACAATAAACTTCATAATCAAAGGAATTGTTAATTCATTTCACATCAAACCACTCTGAGTAACTGTTGACATCTAAACCCCTAAATTATGCAAAAACAAAAAATTGGTGGAATTCCCCTTTAATTACTTCATGGCTTCAACACACACACTCACCTTGAGCCACTTGTCAACACACTTGGCATGGAACTCATGATTGCAGGGCAGGACTCGCAGCAGCTGTCGAGACTCAAAGTCACACATACACACCACACACCTGCACACAAACACATAAGGTTTAAAACGTCATCATTTACTAAATAATTTAACATATAAAGAACTCAAGTTCATGTCTGTATGTGTTTGTGGGCTTCAGCTTCCTAACAGCATTCACGGTGATATACAGAGCAGAACCAGGTGATATTCCAAGTAACTACTTTATGCAGAAAAAAATAAAAATAAAACAAACAAATCATCAATTTATACACACACACACACATATATATATATATATACATACATATATATATACACACATATATATATACACACATATACACATATATATATATATATATATATATATATATATATATATATATATATATATATATATATATATATACATACACATACACACACACACATATATATATATATATATATAGTGAGAAACTGAGTTAACTCGCCAACCATGAACAGTAAAAGTAAAGATATAGTTACACTGTATGATCCAGCTACCAACTAACTGCATGCCATACTGTCTTTAGACATTACATTTTTAGTCTGGTCAGGAGGAATGACATCAAAGGTCATATCTAGAGACTGCTAAAATAAGCCTCCAATCTGGATCTTCAGTCACCTTCGCGGATCACGCAGCTGTGCTTTTGGTCGATGATGCAAATTCACATGCATGTTTTTTCCTCTGAAATTTCTTACATAAAACTCTAATGATGATCTTTTCCTTAGCAACGAATGTAATTTTGCTCATGAAACTGCCCTGACCGGGCCTTAAGGAGCGTTACTGTGTATGTGTGCTACTCACAGGGTCTGCTCAGACTGGTGATTGCTGGGGTTGAATCTATAGGAAGGCAGCTGTTCTATATCAGCTTTAGTCAGACCACGCGGTTTGGCTTCTCCAAGACGCTCCGCTAGGTTCAGCAGAGCCTGCACACAAACACATTAAAGAAAGGAAATTAATAAGAGGTTGGTAAAAGAAAGCCAAGCATAAACATTAACACACACATATGCATACATATACACATATACATCACATTTATTATCACAGTTATCTCCAGGAACTTTGTGGTTTTACTTTGAAGTAATACATGTTTACGCTAGCCAACATTTGTAAAATATGACTTTCAAGGTTACAGAACTGTGGCTCCTTCTTCTTGAACTCCAGAGCTCTTTAGCTTTATAGCTTATCAAGTGGAGACCTCTACAGGTGATACACTACAGGTGAACAGGGTAATTTCTTAATATAAAACCAAGTTTTTTGGTATTAAAAGGCTTGCAAAAAATATATTTAAAGGTAGCAAAGGAGATATTACGTACGTAAATATGCCTACATTTAAAAAAAAAAAAAGTCTCGCTTTTGGATGATAAAATGTTTATTTTATTATGACAACACACTCCAGCAAAATTATCTTACACAACAGATTACTGGGACCTCATTGTTTTACTGGTCATTTAGGTCATTTGTAGTTCACATTCTTGCTTAAATTCAGCTACAAGCAATATATTAAGAAACGCTTATTTTTCAGAACATGCTCAGGAACAAAAATGTCCAATTTCATGAATGCAGGTCTACTAGAAGCTGAGATTTTTGGTTCTAAACACAGAGAAAAGCCAATTGTGAGAAAAACTGCACCCAGTGAGACTTCATTGACATATGACAACATGGTTGTGCCAGATGTGGGCAGAGCTTAGCTTCCATTAAAATTGCTAACTTGTGGAAAATAAACTTAGAAGCAAGTGGACATGAACTGACTAGACATGCTGGAATAAATATATCTGTCATTTTTTAAACAGATTACAGTTTAGGAGAAGAGTTGGTACAGACACAATTTACCAAAACTCAGAAAAATGACTGACAGGACCAAAATCGCTATTTCTGCTTTAAATCCTGACTGGCTTAAGCGATTTTTAGAGCAGTAAAAATGTATGTTTGTTCATAGCAGTGTGTGCTTTAAAGAATGCTAATAGTGATTAAAAGGAGCTGGGACCAGTTCACATAATGGCATTAAATGGCTGGCAACTATTAACGAACAACTTAGAATCAGCACTTGGGACGTGCACCACTGGACCCTTCTGATTATAAAGTACGCATGTGGTTACTTTTATTGTCCTAACTTTCAAACAGGTTTAACCAATGTCTGAGGATATATACTGGACATTTTAGTCTCTGCTATGATCTGTGTTTTCATGCCAGCCTTAAAACGGTCCTGCTGGGATAAATCAATTTTAACTGAACTGAAAGCACAGCTGAATGAACCACATTAAAAGAGAGAAATTTCACCTCATAATTCTCCACTTCTCCATCATCTACGTCCAGCTCTAAGCTGATGGCAGGTCCCACTGCTGTAGGCTGCATTGGAAGAACAGACCTACAGAGAAAGAGAGAGAAAGAAAGAGAATGTGTCACCACACAGCACAGCTTTTCACAGTGGCTCGCTGCAAAACACCTGCTATGAGCTGCATTCACACTGCAAGCAGTACTGCTGCTGAAATGACTGGTATATGATAGAAACAGAAAAGATATGTTTCACTGAGAAGAGTTACAAAAGATCTGAATTAGTAAGACTTGTGTATTTTACAGACATTTGTGTTGCTTTGTTATTATCATTATTTTCATTATTATTATGCTGTTACTTTAGCACACATACATAACCTCGTCATACCAAATTATAAATAATCAGGTGTAAATATTCAGCTGCATGTTTAAGTCTGTTGTCATGCTTGTAAACTGTATTTATTTTTATAGTTTAATACTAACATATAGTTAGTATATGTATTTCTCTACCCATTAAAGATTTAAATCAATAAACAGTAGCACAGTGCCTCAGTGTGGACATTTTGGACAATGTATACATCTTATTAGAGGATACTGACATATATCCACATACACAAATCTTCTAACAAAGGTATTCTGTATTCTGATGTATTCAGTTGAAGCAACTGTGTGGGCAAAACTCACAGGAAGTAGGGGAGGAGGCTAGGGTGATAAGGGGGCGGAGGCACGGCTTGCTGAGAACGATAACGCCGGCCTGTGATTCGCCGAGGCATGAAGTGAGGATATGGCTAGAAACAGAGAGAGAAAGAGAGAAAAATTAACAAATCAAAGTAATTACTTTAGCTAGGTTTTTTGTTGCTAATTTAAACTTTGCAGGGACGAATTGACCACCATGCTAATGTTAATGTTAATTATAATACAGGACAAACGACTAACCCAAACAGTGTGGCTTTTGACAAGCATTCAAAATAAATATGACGTGAAAGAAACGTCACACTTAAAATGTGTTTTACTGCAAATAACTGAGTTGTGTGCTACAATTTCTTATTAGTTTGAATGGGATTTTTGCCAAAGTTCTCTAAAGTTTGTCCAAATTAGTAACAGTTGCAATATTAAAAAAATAAAATAAATTAAATTTGGATGGAGCAAGGACGAGGCCAGCTCTCGATTCCTTTACTCCTTCAAAAGTCTCTCAAACTCAAATTTTGTCATTCCTTTCCAAGACTCATCCACCTTGTTCTGCTGAACAGTGAGTTATTCTCATGGTGCACTAATATAATAATCAATAATGCATTATGGATGATACAATTACACAAGCTGCAGAGTGGGAACTGTACACTGTATGTAATGTAACTGTGAGTGATGCATTATGGGTAACGTAGTCCACTCACCACTCCGAAGAGCTCCTGGGGAAGGGGTTCGTGAGAGAGGAACTGCAGAGGGGTGGATGGGGGCAGGGGGCTGGGGTGGCCCGAGTGGGGGTAATTAAAACTGCCCCCCACAGAAAGGTGATCCCCCAAAAGCTCCACTTCATTCTCGATCCTCTGCAGTGGCTGCACATACAGAAAACGTACAACTTATTCAGTGCTGCACCAAACTAATGAGCAATTGTGTGGAATGTTAAATTAACTGAAATTAGCAGTATTTTCAGTACTGAACTATCAAAAATAATTATGCTTCACCATTTATTGGCAACCCACCCCTAAAACAGACACACACACACACAGTGGAGAGATGAGAGGTACTGTAGATCTGGGCTTTAACCACTATGTGAGGACTAATGTCCCCATGAGGACCATAAGTCATGACAATTTTTGTGTCACTGGTCCTGGCAAGAAATGGTTATTTTTTGGTAAAAGTAAACCAGCTAGAAGGTTGCTGACTGGTTACTAAGGTCAAGGTTAGGTGTGGGAGTAGCATCACACAACTACAGTAATAAATAAACAGAAATACTCACTGACATAATAACACGTGCGGTGTGTGTGGTGCTCACCGATCGTGACTGTTGTGTCTGGAAGGGCAGGAACTGTCCTGGTGGGGGCAGATGGGGCGGATGGTGTGAGAGGTGTGGAGGATGAAGCAGAAACGCTGGATCACTGGAGAGAAGAGAAGGAAACGCGTACGGAACCGGCAAGTGCTGCACTGAACACGCAGGTAACATCTAAAAGATGAAGAATGTAAGAGTGTGAGATGCAAAGAGACAAAATTGAAGAACATACAGTGCAAGAAAGAGAAAGAGAAAAAAAAAATTCTTAACATACAAAAGACTATATTCCAAAGGTAACACTACTTAAACTGATACATAACACTGTCATACCCATGCCATAAACATGTCATATGCTGTCATGAGTCATGATGACAGAGCATGTCCGGTAATACAACAGTCCTTTTTCCATTACTGTTAATGATCATAATACATGACAGTCACAACATTTGATGCTGTGATGGTTAACTAGCAAAAACTGGCATGTGGAAAAAGCTGCCATGACTTCAAATACTGGAGCAGACAATTTCTGGTAATACTAACACAACCCTGTTATATTAGCGAATACAATCTGTCATGACAGCTCATAATAGCTTAGGACATCTGCCACAACAGGTTTATGGCAGAGTTTTGTTACTGTTATGCATGGTTCATGCAGGGTTCAAGTAAAGTGTTACCATTTCAAAGAAATGCAGTCAATGAACGCAGAGCAAGAGAAAATCTATCCCAACTGAAGTTTTCCATTCTGACCACAAGGGGGCAGGAGAGCCTTACAATCAGAAGCAGTGATCATTTATAAAGGGCTGCGTGGAGCAGTATACCCACCGGAGGCGGGACGCTGCAGACTGGGTAGTGTTGCTGGCCGCTGAAGACGACGGAGCAGGCAGGCACCTGCTGCTGAGAGGAGCATGCTGGGAGATGTTGTCCCGTACAAAGTGGAGGGGGAAGGCCGTGGGGCGGCACCGGGGACACGGTATATGATACCGGGACTGTACCCTGAGGGAGCTACAACACACAGACAGACATCCATTGATATCTTAGGGCACATCATCCACCACGGTTTAGGAAATGCATACAGTCTTGCGCTCAGTCCTAATTATTAGCTAATTAATAATTATTACTAATTATTAACAGCAGCAAACACACACACACACACACACACACACTCCAGTGAAACACTGTTGAACAAAAACTAATGTCTTTAATTTTTGAGAATATAAATGTACATCGGCTGACAGAAACGGTTATCGGCCATAATCGATAAGAATCGGTATCGGTCAAGCCCTAGCACTAAGCTTGGACAATAAGGTAAATATAGACAAATGATTATCGCTTGATTATCACTACAGTTTAGAGTGGTAAATGTTATAATCAGGATCCAAATTCAGTTAGGAAGCAAAACGTGAGAGTGAAAGTTTTCCTTGACGGTAATTTAAATACTATATAGTTACCAACTGGGCTAGCTTCTAACATTACTCAATAACATATAACGCTTAATATCTAACAGCACAGATGGCAGGTAACCCTAAACATCCAGTGGTTCTCTGTGCTTTTTTGCTTGAAGAACAAAATACTGCCAAACTGGCATGTTGGCACCCTGCTTCTGGACAAGCTTGTCCATTTTGCTTTCTACAGGAAAGTTTTTGTTTCATTTGCATGTACCTCAGCATTCTTTGCCAGACAAATTCGACATTATAACCTTTAATGTGTGATGTACCAAGTATGTATGTTATGTATAAATAATTAGTGGGTGATGTTCTGTTAGTGTAGCTTATAATAAAGTATAATAATCTCTACTGTATATTTGTATGCTTGTACAAAGAGAAAGGTTAAATATAGGCAAAGCAATGAGGAAAAAAAAAATCATGTAGGACCTAAACGGACTGGAAAAATGATAATTTCTATAATACTGGCAATTATTTACATAATTGCAATATTCAGTTGTATTAATTAGCAGCCCAAGGCTACCTAAGCACACACTTTCCACCCCCCAATTTTTTGTCTTTGATGAGCATGAAGAACTGAACTGCTTCCAAACCGAGGAACACACAACTCAGATGACCACAGTAAAGTCTACTAGTGTAGAAACACACTCACACTCACACTGCTTGCAATATATAATTAATTATAAACTAACAACAAAAACTACAGACCCAAACCACTGCTGTCCTCACCTGTTCATGGAGGTCCATCACCATGGTGCCCTGTTGCTGTGGGTGCAGTAACCGTGGCGACAGAGTGGGGGGGTGGAAGGCGCGGGGCTCGTCCAGGCCGGTCGGAGGGTGGGGTGGTGCCTGGCCGTATGGATGGAGCGAGTGAGGATGAGGAGGGTGGCGATAGTTTTCGTCCTGACCGCCGCCGGGCGAGCCGTGGTGGGGCGGGTGGAGCCGAGACAGACGCTCGCGACGGCCCCGCTGGCGACGAACTGGGGGGCTGCAGACAGAGAGGGGCTTTAAAAAACATCACTGATCGACTCTATCAACTAGTAACACTAGGTGTTACGTATCACCATAATCTATAGCATCAGTATTATCAATATAATTAGCATCCAATGTAAGAAATATCATTATCAACATAACCATTTTCAGCTTAATGTAAATATTGCATATTTTTGCTAAATGTAGTGCATAATTTCTATTTATTCGCTGAATTTAACATATTAATACTTCCATATGCCACATCATCGCGCACACAGTCCGTACCTGCGTCTGTGTCGTGCAGGCGTGTGACAGCGCTCTGGGTGGTAGGGCGTGTGGGGGTATGGGTGTGGCCTCCGGCTCGGAGGCAGCTCCCACGGTCTGATTGGAGGAGAGGGAGTGGAGGGCGGGGCCGAGGTGAGCTCCAACACAGACTGCTGGGAAAGACGCTGACGCTTTGGACTTGGGGAGTCCTCCGTCTGAGAAAGGTGTAAAAATACAGTGTCAATACAGTAAAAATCTCTCTCTCTAAAGTCTCCTCCACATCAAACACTTATCTGTAACTATATTTTCTTCAAAACACCATTTAAAACAGCTCATTACATTTTACATAACACACTCTTCCTCACATTAATCGGGATCGTGCACATCTCTTTTGACTTCAGTTTGGGAAATGAGTAATAATTCACTCTTTCTATCCCTCTCTTGGGAAACTGGGCGATTTTTCAGATTTAATACGCTGCAGCATGTAATAATCTGAACAAAATCTGTCGAGTTAGAAGCTGACTTCAGCTTCATGTTAACTTTATAGTCAAAATGCAAAACCTCTGATCAGCTAGCTAAAAAACGGAAATATGGCGGTAAACTGTCCCGCCGAGTAGCTGCTACAAGGCTGCGATTTTCAGGTTCTTGTTCAGAATCCCCCTCTTCAGGTTCATACAAGGCTGCACTGATATGATCGGATTTCCAGCCTGCACCATGCTGAGGTGTCCACACCTCAGATTTGTTTGTTAGACAGCTAATCAAAGGTTTTACATTTCAACCACACTTTTAAACACGACACCGGTCAGCTTCTAAATCCTTTTCCGATTTTCCCGTTTCACCTTGGCTGCATGTAAATACGCTCTGTTCTGATTGGCTGCCCTGTATTCTTCCTCATTCCAAAAGCAGTCGAGGCTGAAACAAACACTTGTTCTAACTTTAGTAGGGGCTGAACTGCGGAATAGGCAGATATTCGTAAATGCACTGGTTTTTGCGACATCAAAAATGGCCAGTTTTTGAAGCTTTGTTTCCATATGTGGACAGTATAGAACAGGGAGGGAAGGGTATGCTTCGAAACTTTGTTTAAACACTATCAAACTCAATAAAAATAAGTGAGAAAAAATAAATAAATAAAATCGGGTCTCCATGATATGGGTTCAATAAGGAAATCTTCATCTTAAATTCCTCCCCGACTGGATTCAACTCTATTTCAATACGATTCTAAATTACACTAGAGGAGCTATTAAGACAGAAAAGGAATATACAGAACAACAAGCGTATGCCAAGCTTTTCTATAACTGAAATTTTTAAAACTATTTTATCTTATCAAGAAATTGGGCATTTATGAACGACCACAGTAAATCAATTAAGATCAATTCCAACATTCAAAATTGATGCAATACACCTTCAGAATAATGAATCCGGGTTTATCGATGCACTTTTCTCACAGAGACAACCTTATCTGTTTATATGATCAAGTGTGTGAAACAGAGATCTAGATACAGTGCGTGTGAGAGGGAGTAATTCTTGTTTGCTGTTTTTCATTTTGAGTACAGTCAGTCTATTGTGCCTGACAGCATTAAAGGCATTTCCTCTGACGACATGGCCTTCTGTTGCCTGAAGCAAAGTGAGGTCACTTCCTGTAAGAGTGAGGAAACCCTAGTGGGGGAGGGACCGCTGCTCAACACACATGCAGACACACACACACACACACACACACACACACACACACGCGAACACACCCACACTCTCCCACACCCCTAAAGCAGCCCCACACATGCCGGACAAAAGAGAGTCTTGTATGACAGTCACTGCTCTTACAAAACCTTCTAGTTATAGTTCATAACGTCAACGAATGTAATGAGATTATCGGAGTCATTTTTGACCATTTTCTGTTGATCCAGTCACTGAGATATTCACACAACATAAAGGGCAGCTGGTGTTTTACGAACGGTATAAAATAATGGTTTTGAGTTACGAGGCCTTTGAGTGACAGTGATATGTAAATGTCAGAGTGGGTGAGTATCCTGTATGGCGTAACAGTGATGAACTCGCAGTATGATGAAAAGCACTTCTTATCTGCTCGATCTACCCCGCAGCCCTTTATAGGAAATCACTGACTCACAGGGAGCTTTCTCAACCACATACACACGCACACAGTGCACTGCCAACACGAACACACAGACATACTAACTCAGTAGCTGACTAATACACAGACATGTATGTACATGTTTGTTTTTATACAGTGTCAGTACTTATACATACATGTGACTAATGTACGTATATTAGTCAGCTAGTGAGTTAAAATGTCTGGCTTTCCCCTCCAGAGGAATACCACCCAACCACCCACCCACCCACCCACACACACACACACACACACACTTCTACACATACATATACAGACAGACATTATCTGTCTGATCCACTCATACCGACGCAACCCACAACCACCATGGCAGAGTCACACCAGCGTTGAGAATGACCCTTTTGGTACTGTGGTGGTCCTGACTATTAAATCACTGGGTAAAAGGGGGCTAACAAAGTATGCAGAGAAACAGATGGACTACAGTCTGTTATTGTAGAACTACAAAATGCACATATATAGTAAGTGGAGCTGATAAAATGGACAATGAGTGTAGAAACAAGGAGGTGTAGTTAATGTAGTGGCTCGTTTGTATATACACACACACACACACACACACACACACACACGTTTCTATATGGATTAATAATGTATTTCCCATATGTATTATTAGGGGTGTAACAATCGTCTCAGCCCAAAATTTAACTTGATTCACAATACTGGGTTCATGATTCAGTATTCTCACAATATTCTGAACAAAACTCAAAGACAAATGATGACTATGATCGTGCTGTTGCACATCTTACTGGTAACACTACAGCTAGGAGGCAGGAGTAGTGCTGGAGTGAACTCATGACTGGTGTTGATCATCTGCAGGCTTTGGTGTTCAAACAATGCGACTTCATCAGATGGCATAATTAATAGAATACATTCTTCACAACTTGTCATCTCCACAGTGCACACTGTTACAGTTACGCATGCGATTTCATGATATACAGGTACCTGTATGAAATATGATGTAAGTATTAAGAATCTGTCTGCCATGATGTGTTCTGTATTAGTTGGAGGGAAGGGGAAGTCAGGAGGATCTGACTAACAGACACACACACACACACACACACACACACACACACACACACGCGAACACGCTGTTTAATCATACATGTAAGTCTCCCTGTGTCTTAGAGTCACTCAGGCTTATTGTAAAACCTGTGAGGAGGGTGTGGGCGAGTGAATGAGTGAAAAAAAACGCATGTGTGACTTTCAGAGGACACACACACAAACAAAAAGAAAACAAAACGTCAAATGAGGCACAACTAACAACGTCACACCCCCCCCACACACACACACACACACACACACGTTGTGGGTGGTAAAGTGATCTCACACAGTAGAGTGTTAAGCCATAGTGTGGAGAGACAGCCAGCACAGAGACTGTCTGTGTGTGTGTGTGTGTGTGTGTGTTTAATCACTAACAGGAAACAACTGTGGAGCAAGATCCAAGACACACACATCTGAGTCAGGATATTTCTTTATTCCCCTCATGTGTCCTTAACCAGTCTGAGAGTAAGAATGTTCCACCCCTCCTCCATCTGCTCTACAGTCTACATCGGGGGTCCGATCGATATGAAAACTGTGCCGCAATTACTAAGATACAAACTCTGATAACCGATAATGTCAGAATTTAACGAGGTCAGAATTTACACATACTCCAGTAGTTTTAGTTCAACAGTGCTTTACTGACTGATGAGACAACATTTTTAACTCAAACCGCAAAAAAAGTTTATATAATTATTAATGTAGTGGGGGAAGGCGGAGCTTGACAGTATTCTTAGCGATTCTCTTGATTTTCCATTATATGTCGTCTATATAAAGGTTTGTTTTATAACTACGCAGGGTATATCAGTATCAATGGGTAAGAAAAACAGGTTGATATCAGTTTTAAAATAAATCTGTTGCGTGCTGCCTTCTTGGCCAGGGCTCACGTCCAAAAGAGGTTTGATAGTGATGATAGTCTTCTTTCACATGGTCATCTTAACTGAAGTGCAAAAGACCTGCTTTCCAACAAAAACAAAAGTCACTGCACACAGTGCGAGGACGTTTTCAGAAGAGAAACTGCGAATACCGCCTGAGTGGCTGCTCCCAACACAGAGACTGTAAATCCCCTTAATTCAAGACCACAACCCCTTTCTCCAGTAACCTGTCTCAGTATGGGAGGCAGTGTGGTAACGTCTGCTCCAATCAGAGAAGAACGTGCCCATGTCTCAGATCAGAAACTTAATTTTGTTCTTGGTACAGGTCGGTAGTTCCTGCTATAGTTTGGACGGTTTTGCTACAAGATGAACAAATGAGTTTACAGCCTATAGATCACTTAAAATAATTAAATGGCAAAAGCTTTTTGTGTTAAGGTAGCCTGTAGATCACTGCTACTGTGGCCTGTTACTTCTATTATGGTATTAATTACAATAATAGGCTGTCTTTAGTTTTTAATACCTTTGATTTAACCACAACATCATAATAGTCAACATTCATGTCTCACGAGGGACGGCGTTCTGTGCACGAAAGGCTACTGCACGGCTGCGGTATGCCTTGTTTCTGAAACCAAACATATTTAGGCTGATAGGAATATGGATATATATAAAAACACAAAAGAAAGAGATGAGAAACATGATTACACCGGATGGTGCATTTTCTGACACTGAAATTGTCCATTTTAACTGGCAATCATGAGCTGCAGTCTACAATTCAACACCATCGCCAAACAGCTCAACCTACCGTGTGGAGAATAACTGTCCGTTACTTAATAGCTACATTAGCTACAATAGCTACATCACCAAACATGCCTTGGTTGATGAACTACATTTGGAGTCCATTTATGAGCAAATTATAACTTTATAAAGGCAACTTTGTGTTTGCAACACGTCATCATTTTAACAGTGCTTTTTAAAAATGACACATTAACGCTCCTTATAAGCCTCTGCACCCTTAAACTTCCACTGGGTTCATTTATCATTTTTCTCTACTTGATCAAGGCCTCCATGTTTTATCGTCCAGTTCCTAATTTAGAACCGTATCTGCAGTTGTGCACGTTTTAAATGAGGTACACACTGACTGCCCCCTCAGAAACGTTACATA